AAGAAAGAATGAATAACCAGCAGGAAAGAACGGAATGTAGAATAATAATAATAATGAAAAAAAAGATGTATAAGAGGTAGATAAGGTTAGGTTAGGTTAGGTTAATGCTGTACTAAGTTTCAATAGGTGGTTTATACATGTCTGTTATTATTACCGGTTACTACATGTTATTGTGTAATTTATATATATATACATTTCTGGTTAAAGCTGTTTCAATTTTAACTACTAAAAAAAAATATTCTCCGTTATTATAAACGTAAATAAAGAAATATAAGTAAAAGATCTGCTTTTTCTGTGTGATGATTGTTTTAAGATATTTGAGGAGTGAACAGAGTTATTATTATCATCATTATTATTATTATTATTATTTTTTTTTTTTTTTTTTTTTTTCTCTCTTGTAAATTTATTTTGATTCAAATTTCATAAAACAATGGCCATAAATTATTCAATAAATTATCTACATACGATTTGTGTTCATTTCAAATAGTAAAAACATTTATCCTGGGCGGCAACAGCAAGCATTCTTGAGACCAGGGGATTTTGTGCTTGTCGTGTTGTTATTCGTCAACCTAGGATGCCTACTTGTCAGTGAGGCCTCACACGGCGCCGTGAGGATAATTATAGCATTTTTGGTTTGGCAGAGATTGGGGCGGCTGGCCTGTCATTGTGTTTCACGTAGTTTATTTACAAGGTTAGTTAAGCACACAGATCACCAAGTTCTCTAGTTCAATATACGGCTTTCAAATAATTCCTCTACACCTATAAGAGCTGCTCCCGGTAACACACAAAGATATAATGAAGTTCCTCCTGACGGTCGAGAAAACGTTTTGATGGTGTAGACTCGTAGAGAATGTTGTGTGTGTGTGTGTGTGTGTGTGAAGATGTAGCAGTAACGCCACTAATACACCAGCAGCAGGTGTGGGGAGGGTCCAGTCTCCTCTCCCCTTTACTATGAAAGATTTCAATTCTTTTTCTTTAATGCAGTATTGTCGGCGTTTTTGAATAGTAAAAAGTAATTACTATTGACCTCAGAATATCTCTTAATATTAAGTGCACCGCCCCAACCCCCAGCTGGGTGTGCTCGCCCCACCAACTTCTTGGACCCCTCCCTCTTTCGATATTCCTGGATCCGCCCCAGTACACAAGAAAAAAAGCAAAGACCATGAGGTATTTCTTGGAATGATTCATATTCTCGTAAAAGTCAACAAGGAAATCAAACCCACGAAAACAATAATAAAAAACAGTTAGATTGATGTAAAGGACTCTACTGGAAATAAGAAAATAATGGCTTTATCGGGTACTCTTGGTCAAATTGGCTAAATATAAATTCTTCTTCACCTTCTTCTTCTTCTTAACTATTTCATCTATCTACTTCTTCTTCTTCTTATTTTATTACTACTTACTAACAATACCTTCTTCTTCTTCTTCTTCTTCAATTATTCTTCAACTATTTCTTCTTCTTCTTCATCTATTTATTTATTTATTTAACTATTATTATTATTTAATAACTATTTCTTCCTTCTTCAACTTACTTAACTATTTCAACTTCAACTATTCACTATTCATCTATTTATTCTTCTTCTAATTATTCTTCTTCTTCTTTATTTATTATTTATTTATTTATTATTACAACAACATTTATTTATTTATTTAACATATTTAACTATTTCACTTATTTCTTTATTTCTTCATCTATTTATTCTTCTTCTTCTTCTTCTTCTTCTTCTTCTTCTTCTTCTTCTTCTTCTTCTTCTTCTTCTTCTTCTTCTTCTTCTTCTTCTTCTTCTTCTAACTTCTTCTTCTTCTTCTTCTTCTTCTTCTTCTTCTTCTTCTTCTTCTTCTTCTTCTTCTTCTTCTTCTTCTTCTTCTTCTTCTTCTTCTTCTTCTTCTTCTTCTTCTTCTTCTTCTTCCCTTCTTCTTCTTCTTCTTCTTCTTCTTCTTCTTCTTCTTCAACTTCTTCTTCTTCTTCTTCCTAACTATTATTTATTATTCTTCTTCTTCATTTATTCTATTTCTATTCTTCTTTACTATTTTACTTTAACTATTTATTTCTTCTTCTTCTTCATACTTCTTCTTATTATTCAACTATTTCACTATCAACTATTTATTATTATTTAACTTTATTTTATTATTTATTTATTATTCACTATTTAACTATTTATTTAACTATTCTTTAACTATTTATTTATTTATTTATTTATTCTTCCTTTACTATTTCTTCAACTATTTATTTATTTATTACTATTTATTTCTTCTTCTTCTTTATTTAACTATTTAACTATTATTTAACTATTATTATTTCTTTATTATTTATTAACTATTTATTTAACTATTAACAACTATTCTTCCTTTACTTCTTCAATTCTTCTTCTTCTTTACCTATTCTTCTTCTTCTTTATTCTTCTTCTTCTTCTTCTTCTTCTTCTTCTTCTTCTTCTTCTTCTTCTTCTTCTTCTTCTTCTTCTTCTTCTTCTTCTTCTTCTTCTTCTTCTTCTTCATCTTCTTCTTCTTCTTCTTCTTCTTCTTCTTCTTCTTCTTCTTCTTCAACTATTTCTTCAACTATTCTTCTTCTTCTTCTTCTTCTTCTTCAACTATTCTTTACTTCTTCTTATTCTTTATTCTTCTTCTTTACTTCTTCTTCTTCTTCTTCTTCTTCTTCTTTAACTTTCTATTCTATTTATTCAACTATTTCTTCAATTTCTTCTTCTTCTTCTTTATTTATTCTTTTATTTCTTCTTCTTTCTTCTTTTTCTTCTTCTTCTTTATTTATTCTTCTTCTTCCTATTTATTCTTTATTTCTTCTTCTTCTTCTATTTCTTTATTTCTTTTAACTTCTTTCTATTCTTCTTCCTACTATTTATCTTCTTCTTCTTCTTCTTCTATATTGTTATCAACAGGAACACAGGTGGGATAGAAACTGCATTATTTTGATTGAAGTTTATTTTTTAATGCAGGTTAGATATCCAAGGACATTGAGTTGATAATGGTTTAGTCTCTCTCTCTCTCTCTCTCTCTCTCTCTAGTCTCTTATTCTCTCTCATCTCGCTTCATTTTCCGTCCACTTTATCGTGCTCTTTATCTGCCTCCCCCCTCCTCCCTCCTTCTCTTAATACTTAATATATCTCTTGCTGTCTCCACCACTGTCTCTGAACTTCTCCCATATATTGTGCAGCTCCTAGTGAGTTTCTCGTAAGAAGTGAATTAGTCCCAAACTTATCAGCTTACGAGTCTGGATCGCTTTATAGTTTTGTTCCTTTCTCCTTGTGTCTATTTCCCCCAGTTCTATCTCCCCCAGTTCTATCTCTCCAGTTCTATCTCCCCAGTTCTATTTCCCCCAGTTCTATCTCCCCAGTTCTACTCCCCAGTTCTATCTCCCCCAGTTCTATCTCCCCCAGTTCTATCTCTCCCAGTTCTATCTCCCCCAGTTTCTATTTTCCCCCAGTTTCTATTTTCCCCAGTTTCTATTTCTCCCAGTTTTGTTTCCCCAGTTTCTGTCTTCACTGGATATTTATGTCGTCAGTGTACCTAAACCAGTAGGTAATCAATTACTTTCTGAAAGGAGAGTTTTACTGGGACTCAATAGTTACCAACATCACCAACTGTGACTGAAGCCTTTATGAGATTTACCTGTACCTGTCTATCTCTACCTGTTTATTTGTACCTGTCTACCTGTACCTGTATACCTGTACCTGTATACCTGTACCTGTATACCTGTACACGCATAGCTCCGTATGTTACCATTTCACGGGAAGAAAATTGGGTTTGTAAACATGATTCCAGGTGAGATTCATTAGTGTCGAGGTTAATTAAGGGCACACCTGGTACTCATGTGTCAATAGTATTACTGCTTAAATTTACTGTGAGGTTTAGTTGCCTGTGTACATGAGTAAAATATGTTGTGTGGTATGTTATGTGTGCTTCAATAACGTGTTTTGTTTGTGCTTCTTTAGAACGTGTTGGTGTTCTGTGTGTGCTTCAATATCGTCTAAGGCTTGTGAGTAATTCATTAGTGACAGAAAAGGTTTAAGACAACAAGACTTGGTAAAAGTAATTGTAGAAATCATTAGTCGACATCATCTTGTAAGGCAGCAAAGGTTAATTGGCTTGAGATAGAGACTGAAGACGAGTCGCCTGTCTCTCAGTATCTCATTCTCTTTTAATGAGATAAACTTTTTCATGGCTCAACATCTTCATGTATTGAGACTCTCGATCTTATTTTTCAACTTGAGAGAGAAGTTTTCACCCTCTCGTCTGCTTTATTTAATTCCACTTTTGTTATGGGGGGGTCGGCCACTCGGGTGTTGCTTCTCCTGTCTCTGTTATTCCATCTCTCTTATCTCCTCCTTCATCTCGTCTCTCCATCTTATTGTTTGTCTTCTCCTCTTACCTTTCACTGACATTGTTAGTCTTCTTCTCACTCGTCTTATCATATGTAGAGCTCATAGATAAGTTCATCGGGTGTTGTGTGATATTGATATTTTCCGTCCACACGTACAGGAGACCGTCCGTCCACACGTACAGGAGACCGTCCGTCCACACGTACAGGAGACCGTCCGTCCACACGTACAGGAGACCGTCCGTCCACACGTACAGGAGACCGTCCGTCCACACGTACAGGAGACCGTCCGCCCACACGTACAGGAGACCGTCCGCCCACACGTACAGGAGACCGTCCGCCCACACGTACAGGAGACCGTCCACCCACACGTACAGGAGACCGTCCGCCCACACGTACAATTGTGAACATAATAACTCAAATAGCGAATGCATGTTAACCCGTTGTGGTGCCTGGATATATCACAATAAGATCTCACACAAGTTCAGTGATCATTATTTTGTCTCCTCAATGTAATGGAAACCTTGTTTATTTACAGATCTCAGTGACCAGGCCAAGATATTACTGTTAAATAGATGCATCTAAGACAAGGCATCCAAATGATTCAGTCGATGTTTGTGTTATATCTCGCTGTTGTCTTAATAAGATTTTTCTTCTTCCTCAGGTGTGGTGGACCGCCAGACTGTGGTGAAGGACCTGGAGAACACCATCTCTAATCTCTTCACTTATCTCACGTCAAACTCCCCGACAAACCCTGATCTCTCTTCCTTGAGAGATATTCGCCTTACCCCAGACGACGAAGCTCAGAGATCCCGGGAATTAACACCTGCCGAGTCTGTCAACTCCATTGCTCGTGAAGTAATTTCTCCCCTGGCATTCCGGCCTGTGTCTGAGGCAGACTCTACATCTAGAAGCCATCTTATAACCCCTCCCGGAGCCTTTCACGCCATCTCCGAAGAAGGCATTCCTCCTCCACTACCAGGGAGAAGACCTCCGGTAGTGTCGCCCTCCAACTCTGACTTGTTCTCTTCGTCAGTAGACAAGAGATACTCACCAGCGACTCGTTCCTCAGTCATCAGTAAGACTTCACCGTCACCGTCAAGATGGATCACCGAATCTCCTTTTGGTTTGAGAGACAGAAAATCTTTAATGAGTTCAGTGAATTCCAAAACTTCCAGCGACATAGAACTCGTGTATTTGTTGAGAGGTGACGGTGTGAACGACGGGCTAAATCAGTCATTCTCTAGTGTCAGTGAGAGAGTGAGACCCTTGTATGAGGGGGCTAGACTCCCTCAACACCCGGACTCAGACTATAGAGTAAGTGCTTTCACCACTCCTCCCTCAGTCAGCAGTGCCTCTAGGCTTATGGGTCACATGGCAAGTGAACCCACCATATTTTATCCCACAAAACTTCCTTCAGTAGGGAACATATCTCTAGACACTCCTCCTCACGAGTCGAGAAGAACTCCAGTGCAATACCAGACAAACCGTGAATCTCAAGTAGATGTTAGTGGGCAGTCTCCTCACAGTACCTCGCGGTCATCCCCAGCGCCGCACCCTTCCTCCTCCTCCCTGCAGTCCTTGCCTCAAAGATCGAAACAGAAAATACGACCGCCTGACCACCACTACTCGGAGATCGACTTGTACGACCCCGCTCAAGACAACGACAGCACGACCAGGACAGCGTCACCAAACACACTTTCAAGTATGACGATTTCAACGCCTCCACCTGTTCCTCAGCATTGTGAAGGTGAGTCATCCAATTATAGTTCTTTTGTCACTCACACTAATGAATATAATTTGTTTAACACGCAGATTAAAAAATATTCAGTGTAAAAAGGGAATAATGTAGGAATAAAGAAGACTGATAAAGAACGGAATAGGGAACATTGATAGGTAACAGGAATATTAAGGAACAGTGATGGATAACATGAAAAATAGGGACCATTAAGAGGTAACAGGAATAACTATGAAAATTGATAATAACTCTGTAATAAGGGAAATTAAAAAAGTTATGAATATTAGAGGAGATTCACACCGTAATGAAATTTTATTGGGGCACACAATAACACAGGCGAACGAGTATAAAGGCATATGCTGCCGTAATGGAAACAGATCACTGGGCCACTCACACACCGTAATGATCCTGGCCGGCGTAATTGCTTCAACTCGATAACCAACTAATTTCGTAGCTCGACCAGAAAGTTTCCAGGAATTGTTGTCCCAGGGGTTGTTAACTAATTTAGCTCACTTCCCTCCTCACCACCATTAATATCAATCGGGCGTCGAAGCAGCAGCAGCCTCCCAGGAGTTTGTGAAGTTACTGAGGTGTTGGGAGGGAGGGAAGGAGCAGGAGGCGGTGGTAGTGATCGTCGTCTTTCTATGTCGCGACGTACCCAACACTGGCACACCTGACTCACACCTGTTGAGAATTTCGATGGAGTCTTTGTTGACATCATCCCCCCCCCCCTCCCTCCCTCTTTTCCTTACTCACTCTCTCTCCTTCCGTCCTACCCCTTTTATCATAGATGAGTGTACTAATGTAAGGCTGGTGCTCAAGGTACTCTCAGAGACGTAAGGCAGGGCAGAGACAGACGTAGCGTAACTCGGCACAAACTCCACAGCCACAGGTGAGTCAAAGTCGTCGATGCGTGGTGGTCCTTGTATGTTAACAGCCCGGAGGAGCAGGGTACAATCCTTGGTCTCAAGACGCTGGCATATTTCAGAGGAGGAGGGTGTAGCTAGTGGTGTGGGGGCAGGTGGGGGGGGCACAGCTAGTACATCATGCTAGTCTGAGTTGATTAAGATCATCGGTAATAGTTTTGGAGGTAGGGGTGGGTGGATCATATGCAGACTACTAGGAAACACCTGGAGGTATTATGGGTTGGCCTCTACAGTTCGGTCGGGAACGGTCCTGTCTGTGTGTGAAAAGTTTAGCACACAATCTTCCTAGTAACTCCGGAAGCGTTTGTTTACTTCCCAGCAAAAAATGGAGTTATACAAACAGAACGACCAATAGTTGAACTTATCGTCTACCTCAAGATGTCCGATAGTTTACGGATTGTTCTGTTTCGAAAATCTGGACTTTATTTCGGATGCAAGAACAAAAATATGAGAAATTCCAACACACCAGAACCTAAAAGTTTCCAAGTGAACGATCCCAAAATTACCCCAACTTTCTTAAACCAAATCAAACTTCGGTAAATCTTAAATAACCAAGCTTAACTAAACCTAACCTAACCTAACCTAACCAAACTTAACTAAACCTAACCTAACCTAACCTAACCTAACCTAACCTAACCTAACCTAACCTAACCTAACCTTTAAGAAACAATCGGTATTCCTTCTTACACCTTACACCATAAACCAAGTCCCAATCCTCAACATCGAACATCCTCATTCCCGGATCAATAGCTCCTCTCAGCATCACGGACACTCTCAAGATATTACAGATGAGAAACACTCGTCCTTATGAAAACTGCCATTTAATCGTCACATCAGTCATACAGCAACACAACATCAAACACCAAACACCGACGTAATAGTAACACTAACTTAGGCTCCCCTGTTGCTGTGACCACAACTACAGGCTCGGATGCTTGGATATGTACTGTACTGTATGTGTGTTGCTTCCCTCTCATAATATAAGAATTTATTGAACTAGATCACTCAACTATTGACATAAAGATAAGTAACCACGTAATACTGAAATCGTCAGAGAAGTCATCGTTATTAGATGCGTTTTCTCATCTCTGGTTACGAGGAGAAGTAATGTATGGAATCTTTGAGAGTTTACGTTCTGGTTTTGATTCCACAAATATTGAGCTAAATCAATGTTGTCCTCTAATTGACGGTAACTGAACCATTATGTTATGTGTTTAAGTTTTAGTAAGTTACAAGTGATCGCGGGCCCTTCGTGCCCTTGTGAAAGTTTGAACGCTCGTGACATCGTACAGCGAATGAGGGTGCGCCAAGTCCTTAGACTTGCATGGTTAATTAGGGTGCGCCAAGTCCGTAGACTTGCATCCTTTTTCATCGTAAAAAAATGGTTAATTAATGCCTTCCTAAAGAAACCATCGACATGGGACCAGGTTTGTTCCACTCTACGATTTTTTTTCGATTTTTCCACCAAGTTTGATGAAAAACGATTGTGCCGTTTCGCCCAGAACAGATACACACACGGCTAGTCCTATAGTATATTAGATTTAGTGAGTTCTTATTTATTCACGAGGAAGATTTATCGTAAGAACCTTTGAGAGTCTTGTCCCTGATTTATCGCGAAGAAGATTGCCTAGTTACACGATTTCTCCTACGCCGAAAAACACCTACTTTAAAACTTCTCCCGTTAATACGGCTTCTTGTCGGTACAGTAACTGCGTCTTAGAATTTAACGAAATGTCTGAACTGTTGATTAATACCGGTACTGTACACCATTAAAGAGGGTACATTATATATAACGTTGTTTATCATTATGTGTACTTCACCAGGGGTACTGTAAGTAATCTATTACTACTGAGGGGAGATGTAAAAAATCAACATCTATCCATCATAATAGTTTACAGTATCATCACTCGTTTCTAACATCATTATCGTCGTAATCTTTACATTATTCCAAGAAATGTTCACTATAATTTTCACATACAGTACTTTATAAAAATCAAAGCCGTCCATTAACTCCAAACACCTTTTATAAAAATTTTACCTTCCCCGAGAGATTCATCGTGGAATGTGGAGGGAGGGGGGAGGAGGACCATCAGTTTCCTGGGTCTCCCGCCGTCTGCCTCACACCACACTCTCAAAACATCTACTGTGAGCTAAACCGTATTTTTCTTCTCTATAAAAGGATATTAAACAACGAAACTACCGGCCGTAGAGTTTTATTCTACTTTCGACGCTATTCTGTACACCATATTTCTGTCGTGCTTATGTACCGGGTCTTACAATTGTAGACAGAGGAAAAATGAACGGACGAATCTTTGTGAACCCCGTTGGAGCGAGCCCACAGTGGACTGCGGATGTCCTGGCCGAAGGAGATTTATGGTCAGCGGTGGCGAGTGGCTTCATACATCACTGTGAACAAAGTGAAACCCCACACCCGATGGTGCACTACTGAGGCACAGCTGACCGCAGTCTAGGTCAGGAAGCACTCCCGTCTGCGTCTCCTGAGGACTACCTTACAGCACGAGGGTGTTGCAGTGTCTGTACTTAATACCTAAGACTGTAGCGACATGGGTGCTACTGTAACTGTACCTAAATCTCTGTTTGTACTGTATTACGTCTGGCAGTGTCACTACATAAGAATTATTGCATCTGCGCGTCATTCTCAAATATGTACTTGCATCACAATACCTTTATAATGTGTATATATACAGTATATCCTGCATCACCTTTACGGCTCTCTTAACACTTAAATATTACAGCACCAAGTATCGATTTTATGCCTGCATCTTCTACCTGTATTGCACAAGTTTATTATAATATTTGTAAACCTGACTTATGGTTAAATCTATGCACTCATATATCTCAATAAACTTGTTGACTGTGATGAGTGAGGTGTAGTGACTTTGATGGCTCTGGGTGTAACAAGTGGAAAGCGTTTGTTGCAGTCAGTAGAGAAGGGAATGTGTTGGTTGAAGTAAATGGGGTAGAAGATATGTTGAGTGTTCCGTATTACTGCAGGCTGGGACAGTTAGGGTCTCTGAGCTGAGGAAGTTTACTGAGTGAGGTTATTGGTTGGTGGAATAATTGGGCTTTTATAATAGACGTGAACGAAAGATAGCTAGTTAGTGAGTGGTGGTGAGGGAGGGGGGCGGCTCGGGCTACACCTGACAGCCCGGCCCGACTAAACGTTTTAGTTAAGTAGTTTGATAAAGGTTAAACGGATCGAAATAAAATTAACTACACGAATTTGTATCATAAGTATCTGACCCAAGTGCGAAAATTAGCTTTTCCCCATTTAAATACCAGACTTATGACCCGTGAACTATTTTGTGATCGTAGAGGGCGGTGACGTCATCAGTAGTGGTTGTTTGATTTACGCTCAAATTGTGGTTAGAATTACATATATTAACGTGATAAGTTAATATTTCGGCAGTGAGGATGGCTGCGTTTACAAGGAAGAAGCAGCAGCGGCAAATAAGACCTGGTAAAGTTGCCGCGTGTTTCAGCGAATCATCAGCCCCATTGGGCACATTTGTTGGTCTGGTTCAGAACAACGCAGGCGAGTTTAGGAGGGTTTATCCGCTCAGAAATTCTTCCTCCAGTTTGAATACCATGTGTACGTGTTGGGTTTTCTTCCACAGTTCGAACACAAAGCCTATTATATACATTTGCTTTGTCTCGATAGTCTTCTGGATATAAAAGAGGAAATCAAAAGTTTACCAATAGGGAGAAACACCATTTGATGTTCAAGGAAAAACATCAATGAAAACAAGACAGCTGTGTTTGGAGACTTTAAATTTGAGCTTCACCTGTACACACCACTGGGCTGATAACCCTTTTTATCTGTTGTCTCCTCTCCCTTGGTCAGTCATTTCTCGCTCGAGTATTTGAACAGGTAATAAATTGACTAACGTAGATCAGCAGACAGGAAATTACATTCTATTAAAGGATTATTTCACGGTGTCTAATAAACTTTTACAATATGTCACGGAAGATTACAGATATATTTTGTTCATTGGTTTTTAATTGAAATTGAATAAGAAACCAATAAAATAAATAAACAAACTATACTTCGAGAAATCTGGGTTGTGGGTCCATTCTTCAGCTGAGGCGCCAGTGAGGTGTAAACAAAGACTCCGGGAATTTTAAAACAAGTAAGGATTTGGCGTGTCCATTGTTGCCAAGTAGACTATATCATCTTTATTTTATATTTGTTATACATTCGCTGTAGAGAATTTAATGTAGGACTGACAAAAAATGACCTACAGATTTTTACTCGTATAATTACTGTATAAATGCTACTTAATTTTATGTAGGTTGTCTCAGTTTATTATTAAGTGTATTCATGATTTATATAACTATACTTTCTCCGTGATACATGTATGAATACTTGTATAACGGTGATTCATACATGGATACCCGTCTGTAATACATATATGCGTGTTTACATCTCCCACATTCATATATGTGTACCTACAGAAGTCTTTAATGAATATATACTTGAATACCTACATGTTTAGATAGTTACATAGTTCTAAGATGACACACACACACACACACACACACACACACACACACACACACATGGTTCTTATTTCTGTAATTAATACTGTAGGTGTTTGATGCTTGGGCTCATGCACCGCTCTATGAAGACAAATATGCCAAAATGGTCGCAAATGCTTTCGCCTTCTGCGTCGCTAATGAGGTGAGGCAAATAGTGGAAGTTTTAATTAAAAATCAGGTGAACTGTATCGTGAACCAATTAGAGTAGACCAGAAATGCGAAGGTGTGTGCCCAAGAGAGGTCCTAACCCCAGGACTCCAACTTAGAACCTAACCTAACCTAACCCCTAGAACTTAAACTTGGGACCTAGCCTAACCTAACCCCTAGGACTCAAACTTGGGACCTAGCCTAACCTAACCCCTAGGACTCAAACTTGGGACCTAGCCTAACCTAACCTAACCTAAGGACTCAAACCGGGGGACCTTAAACTAACCTAACCTAACTAATGACCGAGGTTTTAGTGTAGAAATCCTCCCCCCCCTCCCCCATCGTCAAAGAAACGAGCTTGTGCCAGAGATAACGTGTGGATAACGTGAGGCAAGATGGATTAGGGTGATGTTCACAATAGCGTGACGTAAGATTAATTAAAGCAGGGATCAAAGCCCGGGCTGGCTACTGGGCCCACTAATCGTTAGACATCAACGAAGACAACCCCACCCCCACCCTCCCACCCACCCACCGTTTCCATTGTCCCAGTACCTTCACCAGAACCACAGCCGAAATGCATAGAGACCTGGGAATAAAACCCATCAACCAGCAGCTGCACACCCTGGCCAGCAGAGTCTGGCAAAAGATAGAACGGTCAGAGCAAGAACTCCTTCAAAGACTCCCACCAGATAACGACAACAACCATACATACTGTAGTTCCCAAAACGTTACCAAATCTCAAAAGGTCCATTACCACCCCCGATCTACACGGCCAGGCAATAGACAACTACCC